TCTTAAAAGGAACTGTTATGTGTGGATTGCCTAAATTTAGAGAAACTTTGGCAATATCTTCACTATTTGGATTCTGTTGTACAAATGTCATTTCACAGCATTGCACAATGAATCTGATACAGCAAACATTCTAAGAATAAGGCTTGTTGCAAGCTCTGGGTGATATGTGTATGACAGGCAACTAGGAAATAATGGAAAACCATAATTCAGTTCCAAATTCCCATGCCTTTGAAATACCTGATTTACTGGCTTTTCGTATCTCTTGTCAGCTTGGGTTTTCTACTAGATTTTCTGCTTGTATTTTATTAAATACTGTTATTAATGATCAAATTTGAATCAACATGACCAAGAGCTTAAGATAAAGCAGGAATATTCGTATATCTCAAATTCAGAGGGCCCACTGTCAGAGCATGCTGGGACACTATCCTCCCCTCCACATTTCATTTTGAACATGTTGTTTATAAATAGAGGCATAATGGAATGACAAGTACAATGAATATGCAGAACACGAGTCATAAAGAAAAAGAAAAAAACTACTTATAATATCATAAGCCCAGAGACAGAATAATTTTCAACAATAATTTCCTAAGCTTACTTTCATATAGTTATAGAAAAAAATGCATGTATAAATCCCAATCTGGCTTTTCTGGCTTTGGATCATGGAAATATTTTAGTGTGTGCATCATTATGTATTTTTTCTTTTATTTCTCTTTTTCTATTTTATTTTCAAGAGAAGGTTTCTTTGTGCATCTTTGGCTGTCCTGGAACTAGTTCTATAGACCATGTTTGCTTCCAACTCAGAGATGTGCTTGCCTCTGCCTCCTGAGTGCTGGGATTAAATGTGTGTACGTTATCCACCACCTTGTGATTATACATTTCTTAACCATTTTTTAACATTTAAAAAAAAGTCTTTATGACTGTGAGCGCTCAGCCTTGGTGAGACATGTGTTTCAATTGTCAGGCCTCCAAGAAAGCGCAAGCTAAGAGCCAGAGTATGGGGTGCACCATGAAGTGTGCAGTGTGCTCACAGCAGCTGCGGTGTTGCCTGAATAAGACCGACACACATTCAAACCAGTTCACAGTTCCAGAGAGAAGGGAATCCAGAGGCCCAACTCCTGGTTTAAGAGTTCTTTGCAGTTCATAGCTGCTGGGGAAGTGAGAGATACTTTTCTTCTTTTGTGGCTACTGGATTTTGCCACTTTGATCACAGTGAATGTTCCCACACACATGTATGAGTAGCACTAATTGGACTTGATGGTTTTAGACACACACACACACACACACACACACACACACACACAGAAAGTTCAGAGTGAGGTGGTGAGAGGAGTTAGAGGAAGAATAAGATCAGGATATTTTGTATAGACATGAAATAGTCAAAGAACAAAAAACGGGCTTTACAATAAAAATAATATAAACAAATAAAAATTTATAGCTTCAGTTCACATGTACATATATATGTAGTGTTTATATTAATTAATTGAAATCTATTCATTCAAGTAGATTTGGTAGGTTCAAGCATATTATAATTTTTAATTTTTTTCTGGAAATAATTATGAAGATCTTAATATTTACTAGTAAATCATAAATTTCTACTACAAATGCACCAACATTTAGCATAATTACCTATTCAAAATATTAGACACTTTTATAACTGATTCACAAAATCATGCGGATGTGCTTGGGTGTATATGTGTGTGTGTGTTACACATTTCAATGCAATTTTCATGCAATTTTCAAGAGTGGACTTTTTTAAAAAAATTTTTTGTATAGACCCATGCACTAGGGTTGCAGAAGGGACCTGCCTAGTGGTTTACGTTCTGCTGTGCTTCCTCAGAAGCTGCTCCAAGGATGCTAATTACAAGTCTTTCCATTTTTACTCTCTGTAGTGTATCTGAAGCTCCATACCACAGCTGGGTATAGCATTGTGGTTTTAGTACAGATTTTACTTAAACGAATACCTCCTTTTCCTTTCCCTGCTATGATTTTCTTGTGGTTTCTTTGGGATAGTTGGCAAAAAAAAATTCTACTTGTTTTTCATGGTGGGTAGTAATGAATGAATTGCAACTTTAGTAAGTTCTTGCTCAAAGTCTCAGCCCAATTCTTTCACTAAGCCTCTGACCCCAATGCAAATCCTGACTCTCACACACTCTAAGACCCAAATCATACCCACTTTGGCTCTGGCTATTCTGGTGTCTGCCACACAGCCAACTCTCCCTTTACCTTTCTGGTACTTGTAGATCCTCTCCCTCTTCCTCTCCCCTCCCCTCCCCTCTCCTCTCCTCTCCCCACTCCCTTCTCCTGCTCTCCCCTCCACTCCTCCTCCTTCTTCTCCCCCTCTCTCTCCCCCACTCCTCTCTATATAGTGATATTCAAGTCTGTAACATTTTATCTAAATTGTCAACATATTTTGAAGCAAAGGTGCTCATATTATTGTTAGGTGGTAAAGAAATAAATGTGTCATAATTTTGTTGTTTTGAGGAAAGTAATGAATAAATCTTGACAACAGCATTTTCTATTAATTTCACCTTTCACAGACCTTAAATGCCAATTTAGCTGATTGAAAAATAATGAATTACTATGGTATCTAGGCAACTCTTGAATCCTACTTAAATCTATCAGGAACTCTGAGCTTCTTTTACCAAGCAATATATCAACATTAATAATGGGATTGATTATATATAATTTTTAGTATAATTATTTTATTTCATACTTGGTCTGATATTGAGTAGGACAGCTTTGTTTTAGATAATATTATTATATTGTTAAATGACATATTCAAGATATGAATTATCCCAAAGCAAAGGCATATTAGATGGCAGATTCCTCATTGGCAATTGCTACTCTCTGTGTGTTCTAGTCCATCCCTTTTTCTTATCATGAACATTGTCTCTCTTTCAAGCTTTGTAGTTTTGTTGTTAAGAAGGCTTTTGTTTTCCAAGCCAAGGTAATATTATTTCTTTGTAAGACTTTGGCAGCAATACTTCTCCAGAAATTCCAAGCTTAGTGGGAAACAGAGACTAGAAGCTCTAACTGTAAAACACTGTAATTATACAGCAAAGCTATTTCTCTGCTGTGGTTTTATCACCCAGGAAATCAATAGTGGTATAGACTACAATTCTCTGCTAGATCTAGGAGGACAGTGAGAAAGTTTATTGACTTAGTAGGAACTACTAGCATAAGAAATCACAGCAGCAGGAAAAGATGGCTTTTTACCTGAACGACTTCAATCCAAACTTTAAAAATGTATTTGTCCAATAAGAAACTTGATGTTTTTTAAAAAGAAAGAAAATGTACAAATAAACAAACAAAGCCATCGCCTATGTCCAAAACTGTCTTTTAAAATCTAAGTACACTCACTGCCAGCTATTATTGTTGGCAAATATTCAATAATGAGGAAAAATTTTTATTATGGTTGTGTGAGGTGAACAGATATTGAGGAACTAATAGTCATGAGTTCTTAGTTTGAATGTCTTATGTTTGACAAATGTCACAGTTTACAAAGAATTTTGTAGAAAGTCGAGTGTCCCAGCAAGTAGCAATATATTCCTTGGAAACTATCCTGCTGAGAATTTAAATACAAGGAACAAAAACCAGTGATACTGCATCAATCAATGTTGTTTTTATATTGAGAAAGGATGAAAGTACTAGAGAAAAACATCCCACACTATCTCAATTACATCAATCAATTTGTTCCATAGTAAAGAAGAATATGAAACAATAAAAAACATGGCATATTCACGTTTTTACATTTGGTCCTCAAATAAAACTTGTTCCTGGTTATGAAAACTATATCTCTAGACAGATGATGAATAAACAGCTGTCTTCGCTTTATTTTCACATTTATTTTAAGCATTAACAGTGAGATACATGGTAGCTCTCCCCAATCATCAGAAGCTTAGGAATATGGCAATGCTTGGCAATGCAATTGAGAGGTGCCTGGATTTTCATTCAATGTGAGCAATATTATTATATATTTGTACTTTAAGTTTTCTTTTTAAAGGTCCTTGTGTATATAGGTTCTGAAGAGTAAACAAAGTTGCATTGTGTGATGAAAACAAAGTACTTGTTCTTAAATGACAAACACAATAGTCCTCTGTGAATATGTCTCATTATACATGCAACTTGCATGAGAAATGTCAACATTTGGCTACCATTAGTTCAGATTCACTATGGCACATTGTTTAATCCATTTGCTTGAACAATTCTATGCACTTAATTCATTGTCAGGAGTAGAGATGGTAATTTCTGAACATCTAAGAGTTCTTCAACAAATGGTTAGGAGTTTTCAAGTAGTAAACGCAAGTCATATTTCATTGACAAAATTCCATGCATAGGGTATGAGAAATGTAATATCGCTCATTGCATATATTATATCACCTGAGCCAACTTCCATGCTCATTAAATATTGTTTTATCATTAATTCTTTCTTCAAATAAGCTAAATTATACCCATGATGTAATTTCTAACACAAATCTAGCACTTTCAAGAGGTTAGGAAGATGTTCTTATATTTATTATATATTTATCAAACTACCTGCAGAAATATTTATTAACCCTGTATATTTTAAATTTCAAGTATGTTGACTCAGTGCCAAATATGAATTACAAATAAATATCTCACTTATTGAAAAACATCCTTTGCTTCTACGGTAAGTTTAAGGAACTCTTATATGCAAGGTAATACAACTGTGTTAACAGTTTTCTGGGTTGGAAAGAATGACAGCCTCTTCATGGAAACGACTGAATTGTTTCGTTCTTGTTGTTCATTTTTTTTCTTGTGTGAGAGCAATACAATGTGCATCATTTGTTAACCAGACAATTACTATTTATTCTGGTTCCTGAGAGATTAGCTTTTCCCAATTATGAAAGAAAGCTGAGATAGAATTGTATCATCACATTTTTCTTGTTCAGTATCCTCAATTAACAATATTCCTTCAAGATGTCCCAATGGCTTGGCCTCAGGCCCCTTGGCACCTGCATTTCTTCAGTTTGACTTACCCTGCATGCACAGCCCATCAGTGCAGTTCTTGGATTGCAGGACCAGGCCATCGCAGTCCTTGCCCCCATTCTTGGGAGCGGGTGCTGTACACTCTCTCCTGCGCCAATGGGTGCATTCAGTCCCACAGGTTGACCATTTACTCCATGATGTCCACCTGCCATCCACTGCCATGAGGGAAGCCAGCATGAGGTCAGAACAAGTAATTACTTAAAGGGTAAAAGAAGCACAACTCGATTCCAACAAAACAAGAATGGAAGAAGATAACTCAGTGAGAAGCCTGGCACTCAGTTAAGCCTCTGGTGAATGAGTTATGCTCTACCTGTGGAAGTTCTGTGCATTTTTCCTCTCTAGTCAAGGGTCCAGGAAAACTTTCTGGGACACATCAAGAGCTACACAAGCATATAAACACACTTCCCCTTCTTGATTCATGAAAGGTGAGGCTTTTGGATATTGTATGGAAGATCAGAGGGTTTCCTTTTTAATCAAAGATTCCCTCATTTATAGTGTCATGTAAACAATGAGAGCAAAAATGTATGAAGGTTGGAAGCAAAGGAATTGTAGTGGTCAAGGAACTCATTCATTCTCTTCTCTCTGTCTCCTCCCCTCCCCCGTCTTTTGACTTCTATACTCTTTTTATTTTCTTTTTGTCATACAGGTCACTTGATTTGGCTGAAACCTTTGCCACACCTTTCTGTAAAGATAATATTATTTGTAGCTGATTTTATGAGTTCATTCCATTATTTGATAGTGTACAATTTCTGTTGATGCTGAAACAATATTTAAGTAAATCCCTCATTTTGGCAAAAAAGGACCCAATTTCATCCTGATTTTGGTAGACTACTTGTAAGAAAGTTCAGTAACAATGAGCTGGGATATCTCTATTTTGAGGACATACAACTTGATATCAGTTTGAAAAACAGAGTAAACTGTCACACTTCAAAACAAATCCTTCTAAGAATATTAAGGAAGTAGGATTAAAATGTTAAAACAAGATTAAAAAGTACTAGATTTTCTTCCTCTTAAATACATAAATGTTTATGATTACCTAGAATTCTACGCCAAACAATGCCAAACATCATTTATTGAATCTTTAAACTACTCAATTCTCAACACTGGGAAAACAATATAAATTTCAGTAGCTTACAGTATTAGTCAATTCTGTCTTATTACTGAGTAAATATACTACACAATGTGTACTGGGATATGAATATGCATATGTGCAACATTAAGGAACACATTACTTTTTCCATAATACAGTTGTCTATACTTCAACTCCCAATTACCCAGAGCAATGAAATAATATGTGCCTATTACTTAAAACACTAGCATATGTGCGTGTGTTTATATGTGGTGTGTGTGTGTGTGTGTGTGTGTGTGTGTGTGTGTGTTATGCATGTGTGCAGTCACATTGTTCTTTCAACTCAAATTGAATGGACTCTGAATTACGAGTCAGAATGTAGGTGAAATAAGGGACAACGTATGATATCAGATGAATTTCTACACTTACCTATGAGTAAAAATATGTTCGATAAATAAGAGCCTTCAAAGGTTCAGAACAGGGACACATTTTGGTACTTGGAATCAATACTTGAAAATGTAATCTGTAGATTACATTTTTCTCCCTGCCCACTTGTGAAAAATGTTCCATTAAAGGATGAGCAGTAAAAAGCTGGGAAAAGCAAAGAGAACTAAGGCTCTGTATTCAAACACCCAAAATTGATAACAGAATTTCTAATCATTGAGTATACTGAATTTATGGACTATTTCAAAACAGTTTTATCTTAACTTCTGGTGTTAAGATATTATAAGAGTAGGCATTTTAGTATATTTGGAATTTGATTTGGATTTGGGTAGCTATTAACTGGGATTTACCTGGAGTCAAGAGCTGGTAGAAATATGAAAGACTATAAGATGATGCCAAGTGGCCGAGGGATGCAATCTTGGCGTAGGGGCCACTGCAAATAATTTATAAGACAGATGACCAAGAGGTTCAGATAATAAAGAGGTGGCTATGTTGTATTTTCCAAATCCATTATCTCATGTGTCACAAACCTTACCCTTTCTTTTAATTCATTCCAGATATTTTATTTGCCGCTGCCTAGAAACTGACACTATGTATCAACTATTCCAGGATAAAATATTTTCTAAACTTCCGTTCCAATTAATTTTCATGTTTTGCTGGAGATCAAGGGTTATTATTTCTAACGTTATGTGGTTTTCAATGTTGTTAAAATCATTTGAATTACAGAATGTATAATCTTGCCTCTAGCAGTTATACTGAGAAACACAGGATTATATTCATGGTTATTTGTTCTCTTAAAGCATTTTGCATGGTTAGGTGATAAAGTTACAGACTCTTTTGGAGGAACGTGTGACTTCTCAGCAAGGTAAATGCAGAATGGATTTAAATAATGTTTATCACACATAAGTTAAGATTATGTCTTTGTCATCTGGTTCTAGTACACACATTTAGAATGGTGGAAATTATTTGGGAAGAGATGACTGTGTATTTACCTGGGCACAACGTAGTACATGCTAATTTCTGCACACTCTGCCCCTCACAGAAGGCTCCACCATTGAGTGGGGCTGGGTTGGTGCAGGTTCTCGTACGTTTCTGATATCCTCGTCCACAACGGCTGTTACACACAGACCATTCTGTCCAAGTAGACCAGCCACCGTTAACTTTACAATGAGACAAACCACAAAGGGTAGGTTAAACATGTGGGAATGTACAGAATACAAACTACACACAGAATACAGACTGGAGGCATTCCCCATGTAACAATAAAAAGAACGAGATTTCAATGCTACAAAAGGCCACAGATATCATTTCAGAGTTTTGTTGTATGGCTGAAGAATCTAAATTGAGATATAGGACATTATTTTCCATGAGTTGCTCATTTATAAACATAAATAAGACTGTGTCTCTTTTCCTTGACTAATATCCTTTGAAAAAAAATCCCCTTACCTAGTTAAACTCCAAATAATACTTTTGACAGTTTTTCTCGCATAATAAATATTTACATCCAGATGCCAAGGCTGTGAGCCAAAGCATGGAAACTAAATAAAATCATAAAAGTCTTTTAAAAATAAATGATTAATTTATTTTTCATCAGCATTTTCAAACTTCACAGCTTTTAAAGGAAATTTATTCAGTTTCACAAACTCACATGTGAACCCAAATACAGAGTTAAATTTACAGCATCCTACTTTTAAATAAATTGGCAATTTGATTGGTGCTTCTGAAATGGATACTCAACTTGTGCAGAAAAACTAACTATGATATGTTTTGGAGGGGTCATATATGTGATTACAAAACAAAACTTCCACACTACTCACACATTTGTCTCTATAAATATCACGATGTTTTAAAAAAGTAGTTCAATAATTTGTGTTTATATAATTTTCTTAACAAAGCAAATTTAAACATATATTATTTGCTGGTAGTTAAATCATTATGGAAAAAGTTTATGAATTTGCTTGCTGAGGTAAAGAAGATTAGCTACTGAAGAAACACAGATTTTACATTTGCAAAATATTTTGCTCCAAATTATATTTTCTAGGAAATCTATTAATCTGAAAATAAACATGACTGTATTTACAGACACGAACAAAAATATCTCCATAACAGATTTTAAATGCAGTGATTAATAATTGGAAGTACCTATGATGTTAAATATAGAAAAATGTTAAGTTGTATATTTTCAAGCCAGTAAAATGATAAAAGAGGTTATCTAATAAAAATGAATGTTAGCATTGTACACTAAATAAAAGTAACATATGTGTAGCTCTTATCTTAATGTATTACCAATGCATACAAAATACCAGTGACACCATATTGACTTCAAACATACAGTCTGTAGATGATAGGATAAAAGACAACTTCTTTGGTCTTTTCTGTGTTTTTCAAATTTTCTCTAATGGCTACACATTTATAAGCCAAAAGAGACAGTAATGAAAAAGAGGACATAAAACAGATTCAGAATAAGAAATGGTGATTACATAGGTTTCTGTGGACCGAAGAACCCAACTTATGTGCCTTGTACAACACAATTTATGAAGCCATGAAAATCTGGAGCAGTTGACAGATAGGGGTTCCCAAATCAACTTCCCCGCTAAGCTTTTTACATTCTCAGATGCCACAATGCTTTCATGTATGATGCTTACTAACATGAGAGAGTGAGATTCTGAGTTACATATACAATTACCAGTCTGTTGACATCCTAATGTCTGGTTAAAAATCAGTAACTTTTAGACATATTTTTCAGATATTAGACACATCCTTTATTTTACAGAGAAAGAGAAAAGGACTATAGGTTGAAAGAATATAGGTTAAAAAGCTGAGTAGTTGGTGATCAAAGCCTAGCTGCTTCATCTTTGGTCCTGACCCTTTTCTGAAAGTGTTTGTTATTTATGTGTGATCCTTCTTAATAACAAAGGTCTTATTACATTTGCTGGTATTGAACTCATGCTATACCTAGAAATAGATTTGCATCTATATTAAATACCTATAGAAGGCATCTTTTATAGTATGCCTTCATTAGTTATTTGCAATTGGCACATTCGATGATTGGGCCCAAATGCTTCTTTGCATTTTAAATGTTGTTAATCAAGTGTTTCAGGCGGCTTAGATTAAGATGAAAAGTACAAAACAATTTTGTGTGATTTAAGGAATACAATTGCTTACAATTCAACATAGCCATTATCTGGACTAGGAAATTAAACTCCAGAGTAATCAAAGGATAAAAAAAAAATTGAAATGCTTCTGTTCTGTAATTAAAATGGCAGTGTTAAACTATCTCTGTATAGCTTCTGGAACATCATGGTGATTTCTGTTCTTGTGGCTCCTCGTCTTGTCAGTAACATGGCCACACAATGGTTTTGTCGGAGAGGGAACAAATTAATCTCTGCTTGTCTGTCTGTCTGTATCTCTCTATCTTTCTTTATCTATCTATCTGTCTATCTATCATCTATCTATCGAAAGCATAGAGGTTTCTTTTTTGTTTGATATGAGAAACTGACATAAGATAGATCAACAGGTAAAAAAAAATACACATAAAGAGATACAACACATGTTTATGCATCATGAGCACATCCTAAAGATGTAAAAAGCCACACGTGCCATGAGAACAAAACGTGTGTATGGAAGAGGACCCAAGAGTGGTAGGTTTTGAAAAGGTTACTAGGAGTTAACTGAGTAAGATCTGTACAGAACCCTCCCCCTTCCCGCTTTCTGTTCTCAGTGATAAGAATTTTATTTTCTTTTAGTCTATGAGAAGTAATTCTCCTTAGAACTTCTCTTGGATATATGCTAAAGAGGAAATTTGGGGTGCTCTCTTCTGATCTGTTCTTATTAAATTGCCTCCAAATTAAGAAAATGCTCAAAAAGCTGCAATGGTATATTCTTTGAGTCCATATGTTATCTTAATCTATCTCCTGTAGGACTCTCTGATGTAATTGTCAGGATATGCCCAGTGAACGTACCTCCTTCATAGTTCATCAGAATCCAGGCATATGACTGACCACAGAAGTAGGGAAGGACAGTTTCACTATTTTCTGAGCAGAGGCAAAGCTCGGGTTCCGTGTTCAAGAGGAAGCCTCACCTTAAATACTGGGTGTTTAGTTTTCCCTGTGATAATATGTCAATATAACTAACGTTCTGAGAATTATGTACCTGCATGGCCTAAACTTTTGGGTACAAACAGCTGACAGTTTAACTGGGGAATAACTCACCTTCTGAAATAGCTAGGGGATAGTGGAGTACCAACCGCATAAGGAGGGAAAAGCGTTGATGTCACACCAAAATGAGGGGTAGAATTGTTTGGCACTTAAAGAGAATCAATAGATTAAGAGATGAGCAAGGTGAAAGGGGCCAGAGAATGGAGTCTTCCATGTTGTGTCCCTTTGTCCCAGTTGTCTTTGTTATGACTCTATAGTTCTTTGATGGAGGCAAGAAAGCAAGTTCAGGGGTGGGGGACAATGAGTGTGCTTGTGGAATATGTTTGTTTCATCTTTCCCGTGTTTCTGTTATTGTGGACCTGACCCAAGATTCAACGGAAGTATCATTGGTCTGTCTTGTGCTTTGTTTTGTCCCAAACTTAGTCAGGTCTTGTTGGTATTCATCCTCCTTGTGAAATAAAATGTCCAAGAAGCATCAGACTGTTCAGCAGGTTACTAAGGCTTACGACTTCACCACTCTTGGGATCCTTCTGGAAGTTAGTATACGTTACTGACCATGCACAAGGTTAGAAGGAACAGTAGAGAGAGTCTAAGAGAGACTGGTAGATGGAGATTCTAAAACAAAATAATATTATGAACCAGATAGAATGGCTTGACACGTGCTGGATCATGCCATGAAAGCTCACATACCATACACGATAACAGTGGCTGTGGTGCTTTTCCTCTTGGCAACAATATTTTTGGCAACACAGGTATAATTTGCTGTATCGGAGAGCCGGGCCTGCTTGATGATCAGGTTGTGATCGATAGTAATATAAAAATTCCGATCTTCTTCAGGATCAATGATGTCTTCGTTCTTTAGCCACTCCACCTAAAGATCCATGAGAAAAATTTGATAAATCTCCAACCTGGACCCCTGAATGGCTGCTGGTCCTGACCTGGGTTTTGTAGTGTGTACAACATTGTTTCATGCTATGAACCACCATCGAGCATAAGAAAGTAGCTTTCTGAGGTCATATTAAGTATCACTCACCTGCCAAACATGTTGATTCTGTCTGTATTGCATTATTCTCAAATGTCAATGAACCAGTTGGGAAATACAGTGCTCAAATTGTTTTTACTTTGCCCTGCAGGCAGGATGGAGAATGAGCACTGCCAAGCACAGAACCCAATCAAAAATAACAGGCAAAGCGTTTCAAACCTAACCCAAACCTTTTGCGATTTGATTTGTTTACTCTTGGCAACTTACCTGCTGCTGCCTTACAGAAAAGAATGTAAGGCCATAAAAAAGCTCAGAAGGCTTTTCAGGCGTCATGGAGCTCTAATAAAGCAACATTCAGATGATTTACCTGCAGATGTGTTACGCTGCAACATATGGATTAAATTTCTCCGAAAACGCACAGACCTTAAAATGCAGCCAAAGACATATTTGGAGATGCCAATGAGCCCAAAGATTTGGGGGGAAGGGAAATTTCCCTACCAACCTCCAATGCAATCCAAACAGTTTCTAAATCACACTCAAATCTCTTTTTGAATAAGTACTTCCAGTATTCAAATCGTGGCTCTTAGTTTTCTTTTGGCAAGCTGACCTAAGATGTGACTGCCTATTCAACACTATGCAACCATTGTTTTGCTATGCAAATATTATTGATTTAACAACAGTGATGCTCTCCTTTCTGAATAAAAGAAGAGAAATATTCTCATGCAAACTGTCCTTCTGGAGGATAAACTATTTTTTATCCTGGCAAGATTTGTTTCCCTGTGAACCAGTTTTTCCATAAAGGAAAACAACATTGATATTTACCACAGCTAAACTTCCCTCTTGTATTAGAGTGGATGTGGACACAGGTAACCTTTAGTGGGAGGGAGTCAATATTGTTGCCATTTTCAAAACCTTAAAGAGCTTCTTCAACACCGTAAGAAGTCTAGAAATTAATCTCTAAATCTGTCCGTGAACTCGACACAGCACGATTGTAAGTTACTTCTGGAAGGCAAGGGCTATTATACTTCTCTAATCCACAGGCAAGAAGCCAGCATTAAGAGGGAAAAACAAAAAAACAACAATACCCCTGAGAAACAGGAAGTGGATGGGGGTACAGACAAGAGTCACTATTTGTAATCATGTAAATTTGCAAGCAGTTAAACATTCTTGATATTTGCACTTATGGTAGGGAGAAAGAGATTGGAATCCATTTAAGACTAGATTTTTAAATATGAATTTTTTTTAGATGCACACCACACAGGATGCCAGTAACGAACTGCAATATATTTATATGTGTGTATGTAAGGTCTCAAAACAAACTATTGGAAATCTACTTTACAATACTAATAGTTGATTTCATTATTTCTTGTTCTAGTTTTGTCCTTGAGTATCTGTCCTATGATAAAGAAAACATTCTTGCTCGCTAAAGTGGGATTGCTGATTTTTGTACTCAGAATAAGTCTTGCCTCAAGAGTTTATTCTGCTTCCCCTCCTTGAATGATAGTCTTCAGACATAGGGATTCTCTTTTTCTTGGCTGTGTCTGTGAGTTTACATGTTCTTCTAAAACTTCCCTGTCTGTTACAGTTCTGTGCATACATAGACTCTTAAGTACTAGCTGAATAAGTTCTGCGGTACAATTCTCTGAGGTTCCCGCATGGGATCATGTGGAACCTTGATCCTGAGATTATAATATTTGAATTTTCAATCTCCTTGTCTTTTTTTTTTCTGCTTTCTCATGTTTTTCCTGCTCATTTTTCCTGGAGCACCTCCTTAAAGAACGATTCTATTCAGTCCTTCGGCCCACATCTTGCTTCTAGTTTCTCTATGTAGACTGATAATCTGTGTAACAACAGGGATTACACCCTAATCACACCTACCCTAATCACAATTGGCATAAAGAGATCCCAGGGGATATTACAAACCCCTACCTTATTTTAAGAGTTTATTACATGGAAGAAAAAATTCTGTTTACACAGTTGACAGGAGATTTTGAGAGTCTAACCTGATTGTTTGGTGTATAGTTTTTTTTTTCATGCATTTAGTCACTTTTTATTCCATTGTCTCCATGAGGTAGAGCATCTAGGACCTGAGAAGCCCCTGTTTTGAAGTGATGCCCCGGGGTACTTCAGAAAGGGCACTCCCTTTCTCCCCTACTGACTGATTTGATCACAGAAGTTCTGTTTTGAGCAGTTTCCCACTTGGCTTATATATCAGCCTTTTAAGGAATGGTGGGTTATAGTATTGGAAAACAACACAGAAAAGAAGAGGAACACACTGGTAAAGGCTCTCACCACCCTGCATTTCTGTACCCTGATGTGTTACACCCTCTGTTCTAAGATCAGACTGTCCTGTGTAGACAGGTCACTGTTCTTCTGCCGTGGAACCAGGCAACAAAATCCTCCAGAACGCCATCTTGTTAGAATGTTGACTTTTTCTGTTCCCCATCTAAAGTTCATGCCTTTTGATATCAGTGTTTCCCCTGGAGTCTTCTTAAGTGGAAGGTATTATTTGGTTTCCTAAGTGGAACGAACCCTTGAACCTGTGTTTGGGTAAGTGCTTCTATTTTACACTGTTGGTCCAGATCAATTTATCTCATCTATCTTGCTTTTAATATCAGGCCATCAGGTATCATCTGATACCTACATTATTTTCGTAGTAATCTATAGGTATCAGAGTTATAGTCAGTTTATCCAGCACAGTTCTAATTATATTAATACTGATAAAGAGGAGACATCTGATTTCTTGCCTGCCTCCTCCCAATACCAGATCTACCTGCAACAATATTGTCCTCTTAGGTCACACATTCTTTGTAGAGGTTTTCAACTTTGGCTTCACATTTGTTTATGTTTCTTATACATCAGTTCAAAATGTGACACAGAAAGAAAATCTTACCCCTCCCCCCCAATAAGGATTCTCTGACTGAAGAGTTTTACCCTCACTGTTATTTAATCTCTCCTAAGGGTTATAAGTTACTGTTAGATTACCGACTTTCAAAATGTGATCTCTGGACTGACAGTACTGTTATCACCCTAGGATCAAGATGCCCACCGCCCACACTGACCCAAGTCAGGTGTGCAAACACGAGCTCCAGAGCACCTTTGTGTACAGTGACATTCTGGAAGCATCAGTGTAACTTTGGTCCATATCAGTACAAGTCACCCAACTGTGGATGCAATGTCCAATTCCCCTCTCCTTTTGCCATTTTCTGTCTTCCATGTCTCTTTTCCGTAGGAGTCCTTGCTCAATAGTTCTTCATCAGGCCTTCCCATCTGTTTTACCTTACATTTTATCTTTCATTCTTCTGTATCACTTTCTCCACCTTTTGGAAGCAGAACAAGGACCTTTAGTTTTGCTGAATTACACTCTAGTTTTATCTGTGACTCCACTGTTTTAGATGACTGTTTCTTGCTTGTCCTTCATCCTTCCTTGTATGCCCTTATATAATCTAACATCACAGAGAGAACAAGCAATCAGGAGATAGCTTCTAAGTTACCAGTCAGCCTATCTACTCCTATGGCTCACTTATCTGAGGGAGCTCTCTGGACTCTTACAAGGCAGCCTTGATTGGTGCTTTCTATCCCTTTATCATGCTCTTATTCAAGGGTAAATCACAGAAATTCCCTTTCTCTTAAATGGCTTAATTATTTGTCTCTCTGGAAAAATTTCCACAAACAGACAAACATATTGTTATTTTCACAACTCCAAACAAAACCCTGCCTACCTATTACCCCCTCTCTTCAGCCTCACACCTCTGCGGGTCTTCTAGGAATTCCCACAAGATTGACGCCGTTAGTTCTTCTGAACCCATCATAATTCTCTCCATGTTCGCTTTCATTGAGACTGTCCTCCATTGTGAGTGACTTTGATACTACGTGGATAGCGCTTTGGGTGTACCATACTTGCTTGGCAGCCACACTTAGCCATGTTAATCCTTATCTCCTTTCTATTTGTTTTCTCTGGACACAGCACATTCCAGGATCTGTCCTAGCTCACTCATTCACCTCAACTTTCTTGATCAGATTTGTACCACCATGGTCTTGATCTCTCCTTTGTTTCTCTTTTGTACTCAAGATTCACTTGATGAGCTCATGCCATCTGGTGCAGATCATTCTCAAACTTATTTTCAATCCAGATTCCAGTCATGATCTTTGGCCTCATATATCTGCTGTATTATCATACACTCAGTTGTCTGATAGTGCCCCTGTGAACAGACATTTTAAACCTGCCCTTTCTGCTATTTCAGTTATCCAGGCAAGGCCATGTTCAATCTGCAGCTAGCTGAAAATACTCTCTGGGTGTCTTTTGCATTTTCTCTCTCTCTCCAACCATTCACTGTCGAGCACTACGACAGTATTCTGACTTCTTCTCCTCCACTTCTTCCTGCTCCCTTCCAAATCCAAATCACCATTTTTCTCCTAGATGGCAGGAAGAATCTTGCATCTTACTTTCTAAGTTTACTCTTTCTTCTCAAGATTTTGGGAGGCACAGGAATCTACCAAACTATGCTATACCATGTTTCCTGACTTCCAGTGACTCTATAGTTAATTCAATGTCAACTCCAATCCTTACAATGAACTACTGCGGAGCCTTATGTTGCCAAAACCACTGGCCTTTCAGAGCTTGACTTTGACTCTTCCCATGGCCTTATCTCTTGGTATGTAGGCTCTGCTGCAGAGGTTTCCATGAAAACCAATGTTCTTGGTGGCAACATACCAAATAAACTGGTGCCACTTCATCTGTGTGAGTCAGCCTTTCCTGAAATACCCAAATGCTCTATTGTCCTCACCTAACTCATGACCCTCTTCAGGCATCACATTTTCAGTCTGTCAGCTCCTGGTCAGCCTTTGAACCTTCAGCCACCATTTATTCCTATACCCTCAACCTCCCA